GGCAGAGCGACAAAGCAGGACGTCACAAAGCCAAAGACAAGAAAGAGAACTGTAAGCAACAGTGAACATGTGACTAACTTAGTGTTGTCTTTTGAGTGTCTAAACAAGTATTGTATAATCCAATTGAAGGACATCACACAACATGATGGCACCAAGGGAGATGTACATAATTAATGATAAACACTAAAATACATTGAGTCAAAGTTACTTCATTATATGAAGAGTTCATTAATAATTTTCAGAAATCACGTTTTTTTTATTGCGCATTCCAAGTAATTTCAATCAAACTGCAGTTGGGTTGTTTTGATTAAGTAATAATCACTTTTTTACAAAATTAAAGTTAATTGAAAGTATGTTTTTTTTACATATTAAACATTTGTTTTATAGCAAAAGCAGATAACTCCAACAGTCGTTTTTTGGCAAAAGCAGATAACTCCACATTTCATGTTTTAGAGTTTAAAAAAAACACTCGTTTAATCTTTGTAATCTCCTCAGATGACAATGTAGATGCCTGACAAACATTGTTGTTGTTGTGATCATAAACTGTATGGATGTGATTACACGCAATACACTGATCTTTTCCCTCATTATTGTAACGCGCTGCTTTTGCAGCTTTTATTTTCCTTCTTCACCCTGAAGAAGATGTCACAGGTTCATCAAGTTCGTCGAAATGATCCATCCTCGATCACTTTTAGTCAGCTTTGACGAAACACCTCTCAGCTAGCACGTTTTTTCAGTGAAAGAATCCTTGTCACCTGACCTGAATACAGTGCGCTGATTCGCTAAAATGGACTTATCGGCTTCTGTTCAAATAAAGCGGCTTCTGCAATAAAACGTGAATTCGCGATGCCTTGAAAGTGGACAGAACCGGCTTTTTTGACGAAACGTGTTTAGGGTTCAGATCGCGCTATATGTGGAGAATAATGCACGGCAATCAGCTATTTTTTTTTTTTAAAGTGGCGTTTATCGGTTTTTGCAAATGAACTCTTCATATGGTGATTAAAAACCTGTTTTGCAAATGTTTGCAGTGACAGGTGTGTACAACATGGTCATTTTTTAATCTCTGTTGCTAATTGTACACCTGCATAACGAACACTGGCACAGAGTGCTGAAGGGATGATGTATTTTTTGTAGGCCAAAGCTCAGAAATGAGTTCGAATTTTAGCATTCATGGTTCCATGGTCCGTCGTCAGTGGGATTTTGGTTAAAGGCAGGGTAGGCGATTTCAAGAGACTAGCAATAGCAAGCTAGCTTTGAAAGCATAAGATCCCACCCTCCCTGCAAATCACTCTCCAAAGCCACGCCTCCTCCAAAACACATGACCGCGCACAGGCAGACCAGAGGCTAACCAGCGACACAATGAGAGACGGCGTTGGTGGAGGGTCAGATTACCTCATGTCTCATTCACCGGTGAGAAAACATATTACAATAAAAACGCCTTCCATTCTCACTCGGTCTGCAATAGTGTAATGGAACGCGCTGATGACGTATCATGTCTGCGCGAACGGGGTGAGCAGAGGTTTGCAAGTACATCGGTTGACAGGCAGCTAGAACAGCCTATTGTAGCCCTTGGGAAATGATAGCGACTGAGGGAAATGATTGGATGAACACTTTATGGTCCTAAACCTTCCGCAGACGATATAAATACATTTAGAGCACTTAAAGGGTTAGTTAACCCAAAAATGAAAGAAGATGAACAAAGGCCTTACGGGTGTGGAACGTCATGATGGTGAGTAATTAATGACAGAATCTTCATTTTTGGGTGAACTTTAACTTAACTTAATTTTTAGTGATTGCTATCGGGATGTGAAGGGACTTTCAACCAGCATAACAAAAAAAATATTTTTGAACCAAATCACCTACCCTGCCTTTAAATGCCTGTATTAAAGATGTTTTCATCTTCAGGTATTTGTTTAGTCATTTAATAAGATCTTTAACTAAATGTTTTGTAAAAACTTACAAAAGAAAAGTTAATTGAAGGAGAAGACACCATATATCTTGTATTTTTTATGTTTGCATAATGCCTTATTTCTGCTATCTTTGTGTTGTGCTGCACAATCACCTTATTTCAGCATTTTCCAAGTGCGCATTTGTTTTGGAAATGTGTGTTCCTCATTTTCAGTTCTTAAAAAAGAACTGCAAATCTGTGTTTACTGATATTATTGGGACGCATTCATCTGAAGGTCAGAGGTCAGAAAAGACCCTGAGAAAGTCTTTTACCAGAATGTGAAGATTCAGGGTTTTTGCCGTTGGAAATTCGGTGGATTTGAATTAATGCTATGCAGGGGAATTCTGATGGTGTTGAAATAAAATATCAAACACTGTCACATCCTGACAGCCCACAGAATTTCAGTGCAGAGGTCTCTGCACCCCCCACACACTGTAACCTTTTGTGCATGTGTAGCACGGTGATGACATCAGCCGCATGAACGCCTCTCTTTTCAGAAAGGCTAAAGAGCAGCTGAATTCATACTGAGTTTGCAGATCTCATATTTGAGGATTTCTTTTTTCTTTTTCGTATTATGTTAACATCTTTTCATAATAAAAGTCATCAGAGCACATTTTGAACATGAATGCCTCTTTTCTTAAATGACAAAAGGCAACTGAGCTTGTATGACGGTTGAAGGTCTCATTTTTTAAGATTTTTTTTCTCTTTTGTAATATGTGTTAACATCTTATAGGCCTGCGCTTTCATAATAAAAGTCATCTGGGCACATCCTGAGCAATGAATGTTTCTCTGTTTTGAAAGGCTAAAGAGCTACTGAACTCGTACTGAGTTTGCAGATCTCATATTTGAGGATTTCTTTTTTCTTTTTCGTATTAACATCTTTTCATAATAAAAGTCAGAGCACATTTTGAGCATGAACACCCCTTTTCTTAAACGGCAAGTGGACAACTGATCTTGTATTAAGTTTAAAGGTCTCATATTTGAGAATGTTTTTTCTTTTTTTGACATCTTAGATGTTTTCATTATAAAAGTCATCTGAGTAAATTTTGAGCAAGGTTTGCTTCTGAGTGGTAAACAATTTTAAGTACAAAATGTATTGTTTCAGAGCATGGGCTTAATATGAAAACATTCAACAACATCTTAAATATACTTCAGCTGCTTTAATGGCAACAAAAATCACAAACATAATGAATACAGTATTAACGACAGGATTCCAGTAGAATACAGTAAATAAATTACACATTACATAGACATTATACATATAACTACAAATGAATGCTCATTTATGTTCAGCTTGCTACACAACACAAGTTCATGCTTCCAAAGGGCCGATATCATGTGAGACTAGCGAGGCCGTCGAACTCTGATTGCTGCTGCTGCCGCGTTCCTGCTGAGGAAAACAGAAGCTGGGCTCATCAAGAAGAGACACTTGAGTCTGTCCTCCTGAAAGACACGCAGAAAAACATGGTTGTGTTAGGAAACATATATGCTGAATAACTGAAGAAAACACACAAATATCTTTACCTGCAAGAGTTTCCTTTTCAATATGGGGTTTATGAGTGGCCTTTCTTCTTCTCCACTCCAGGAAGAGGATTGTAGAAACGGGTATCACTAAGCAGATGAGCGCGAAGATGATGAGAATAGCAGCAGTGATCTCTGTAGCGAAGAGCAACAATGAGTCAGTCACTTGAAATGCCCTTTAAAGATGCTAATGGAAACCAAATTTATGGTTTTACATCTGTTACAAGGCTTGTCTGTTACTCTTATCCTCTTAAAAAGTAATATCTAAGGTCGTGCAACTGTTCAGCAAGCGTGAATGAATAATAGTTTTTTAACAAAATAAAACAGGTCAAAATCATGAAAAACGTAGGTACACTTTAAATAATCCATATGAATTTCGAACGAAAGACCCGTTCAGGGTGTTCAGAATCCTTCTGTGTTGTCAGGGCCCAGTGTTATCCGTGAGGTCAGTTTGAACATGTGGTTGTTATTATGCCCACTTTTGCTATTTATTTCTGTCATACTTACTGCTTTCTGCGTCACTTCCTGGCAACACTTTTGGTTTGGTATCTTAAAAGAAGAAAGATCTTGCAGTCAGATTCATATTAGTTATTAACAGGTAAAATTCATGAAAAAAATGTAGGTACAATTTCAATAATTCATATGAATTTTGAACGAAAGACCCGTTCAGGGTGTTCAGAATCCTTCTGTGTTGTCAGGGACCAGTGTTATCAGTGAAGTCAGTTGGTCCTTATTATGCCCACATACTCTGCTATTTATTTCTGTCATACTTACTGCTTTCTGCGTCACGTGCTGGCGGGTTAATGTAAATTATGGAAATGAAATGGTAATTGTGACTTTTTAATCTCACAATTGTGAAGTTTTTCTCAAAAGACCCGTGAGAAAACCACATATATATACACATACACATACACACATATATATATATATATATATATATATACATACACCAAAGAATTACCAAAGAATTAAATAATGACTTTACATCTCACAATTCTGACTTTTTAACTAGCAGAGTTAACTAGAAGAAAAATCCGAATTGTAAAATATAAATTCATAATTGCAAGAAAAAGTTACAAATGTGAGGTTAAAGTCGCAGTGGCCTTTTTTATTCCATGGCGAAAAACAAGATTGTTTTTTTTTCCCCCTTGAAACTGCGATTTTACGTCTCGCAATTCAGATTTTTTTTTTTGTTCTAAGAATTCGGAGATTATTAAGAATTATATAGTTTATATTATATAGTTAACAAGAATTTATATCGTTTATATTGTGCAATTCAGCAGACCTTTCTTCTCAGCGTTGCAAGTCAAGTTAAAAAGTTGTGAGAATTGTGGCATTTATACTGTATATATATATATATATATATATATATATATATATATATATATATATATATATATACACTGTATATATCTAGGTATTTGTATTCCTCCAATAGCAAGAGTGCAAGAGTCTGGGGCGTGGCTTCTGTGGCATGCTGAGTCAAAGGTGTTAAACCAGTGTGGTAAAAGAAACTCCTGCTCAAGCAAGTTCGAAGACTTGCTAAAATACACAGAGACAGACAACAGGTTAAACACTGCCAGTGTTTTTACAGGAAGGAGGAATTTGATGGAATGTTGGGGTTTCTTCTCGACAGGTAAACTGCAACCTGATAAAGCCCTTTCCATAAGACCCACCCAAACCTCTAAGCATACTGGGGATTTTGGGAAAATAATCGGAATTTGTCAGTAAAGGGCTCTTTTGGCATTTGTATGGTGATGCGCAGGACACATGGACATGCGGCAGTATCAGACATCTTGGATGTGAGTACTGGCTGAACATCAGTTAAAAAGAAAAAATATATTCATTAAATGCTGTACCTGAACTACACTGCTCACAGATCTTACACATCCACTCGTATGGGCTGGTGGTAAAGGTGCCTTTTTCACAGGGAGTACATAAAGTGTTTGGATCTGACCCACAGGTAGACACACGACGGTTTCCTGCAACAAACACACACATACATTTTGAACATCTGGAAATGAATAAAGATTTAGTATTAAAATAAACAAACAATAAAACATTGAGATATAAATGGATGAGGACTATTTAATATTAGGCACCGGCTCTAGTCGACTAATAAATTAATGAGTGGCATGAGTGACTCAAGAATTAGAAATGTATAGTTTGTTTTTGATTATGCTTATTTGTAGTAAGAAAAACTAATTTAATTAACGTAATTAAAATAACAAGTTAATAACATCATCACAAGTGGACTTTTGAACATATCCTACATCTGATGAAGTTTCCTTATGGTGACGATTACGCATCTCTGATGCACGATAATCAAATCGAAAGTAAACCTTGATATGCATCTTGAGGATGAATGAGTCCTTCAGATGTGGTTTTTATCACATGATCACACTTTATCATGAGGGGAAACTGAGACACTTTATATCACAGTCTTCATGTGTATTTAAAAGCAGACTAAATACTGTGACCTCTATTTACATTGACTCGAGCGGTGTTGCTTGATAACACACTGCCATCAATATTATCATTTATCACAGTAATTCTGTGTCCAGTTTGGTGGCTTAGTCATTTCGAAACACTTTCTCCATCACAGATCAGTAACTATGTGTTCAATTCTTACATCTGAGCGACTCATGAAAATATAAAATAGCCTGCATTCAAAAGTATGCATGACAGAAATAAATGGAAATTGTCGTCTGGTTTCCATTTGTTATTTACATTTATTTTTTGGTGTTGCTTTATAACACATTGTTATTAATAGTAATTAAATCATCATTATTTCCACTGAGGAAAAAACCCAGGCATCTCTCTTTACATTACTTTTTTTTTTTAAAGCTTCATAAAAATATTACATTTTACATCGTACTCTCTAAGAATACCATGGTACCAGGTGTTGTTTTTCCTCTCTTCCTTTGTTTTTCCATCTCTTTTTACCCATGCATTCATACTTTTTCAAATCAATACCGATATACATTTTTTAACCAAAGGCCTCTTCCATAAACCCCCAGCTTGGGGCTGACAAAAAATCAGTATGAATTCAATCAATTATTTTTTCTTTCCAAAATTTGTATAAAATTATTCCTACCCACAATCATAATCCTTAAAAACATGGCTCTTCTACATCAAGCAAAAATAAAATCAAAAAGTAAATATTTATCCATTTTCTTTTCGCAATCATTTTATCCCAAAGCTAATCATTCCTTTTCAAAACTCACCTGGTTTACACTTTGTGCAGCATACATTTTCCTGACTGATGTCAAAGTCCTGACATCCAGATTCCACCCGGTGTCCTGCAGCCAGAGCTAGGACAGCCACAGCCAGGAGCAGTACATAGAGCAGCTTCATCCTCCACGACACGTCTGTCTTACACACTTCACACTCTGACAGATGCTGAGAATAACAATCAGATCTTCTCTAGTGAGCTGCGTCTATGCAGTGTCTGAAGCACTCACACGTGAAACCGGATTTGTAAGTTCCTAAACGTCATAAATAAACCCACACGTACACACACACACACACCCCCACACACACACAGGCGCATAAAGTGTGTTTGACTAATGACTCGTCAGCTTTCTTTTTTTTTCATAAATGATGATGAGCCAGTTTTAAAGTGCGGGGATAGGGGATATTCCTTTCTCTGCCTTTAGTAATCAAATAATGATATAAAATCATATTTTATGTCAGGGATGATAATATTTCAATGTTTTTTTTTCTTCAATATTTAAATCTATTGTCACAAACTTTTTTATATTTCTGTTTAATCTTAGCAGCCCATCCAGACAGATCTAATGATTTAAAGTCAACATGAAATTCAAATTGACTCTAACACTTAAAAGAAATAAAATAAAAATAATAATAATAACAATGGAGCAGGATTTACTTTGAAACATTTTTCACTCAAAAATTGCCAGTAAATTTTCCAAATAATGACAAAGAAACATTAAGTAACACATTGAATTACAGTAAACATACGATTTTGAAGTAGAAAGACAGAGTATTTTATACGTCAGTGTTTTTCTTTTTTACAGTGCATTTATTCATTTATTATTCCTAATCTTATTTTGAATGATTCATCAGTGCATATTATTTCAAAGAAGAAGAAAAAAAATCTAAATTAATAACGTATTCCACCTTTGAAACAATTGTCCTTTTCGACCAATGGATGGACAAAATTTCATATTGACTTTAAACACAGCATAATTGAACAGAAAGAGCCAGCCTCTAAAATTCTTTGTGGTATTCGATTTTATAAATGTAGTTCAAATGAAGGTATGTCTTAAACGATACGACAGTATAAACAGCTGGCATTTAAATGCAGTGACAGTCCATCACATCTTTCAATAACACATTTAAATCAGGCATATATTAATAGTCTTATTTTTCAAGTGTAACATCATTGCTGATGAATATTTATTTTCTGTAAGCAGGAAAACCCCCTTTTACCTGCAGCCCTGTTTATTACAGTAACATTTACATATTTACATATGTGGGAATTATTGTAACTCTGGTGATGTCATTGCCTGGGCTTTCCTGCATAACATCAGTGCTCCTCCTCACTTCTGTGACTTCTGAACGGAGCCCTCCATGTCTCCCTCTGCAGGCCAAACTGGGGAGTTCTGAAACCCGGTGCAAACACACTGGGCATGCTCCTCAGCAGTCCCGATTTAATCTCATCGTTTCGCTTTTTCATAAGTGCCAGAGCTGGAGTCAAGGGCAGGTTATCACAGTTCTGAAAGACAATAGCAGTGGGTCATTTCTTAGGGTTCTAAAGGAACATCAGGCTCACTTAATGACTTTGAGTGTGAGAAAATAAAATATATATATTTTTTAACATTTTGAAATGAAATGAAATTTGATTTATATTACATTTAAATACAATTCTAGGATGATGAACTTATGATTAAGCATTAACAATGTAATTAATGTTATTGCCTTAATAATGTACATGACCAATCCTACAATAGCAAGAGATTTTGATAAACGATCAAAGTAACGTAATGTTTAATTTAAAATGTATGTGTTGTTGTTATACACTACCATTCAAAAGGTTGGGGCTGGTAAAAAGAAGGTCTCTTTGGCTCAACAGTAAAAACAGCAATATTGTACAATATTATTACAATTTCAAATAACTGTTTGCTAACTGAATATATATTTGAAAATGTAATTTATTCCCGAGATGCAAAACTGAATTTTCAGCATCATTACTCCAGTCTTCAGTGTCACACGACCCTTCAGAAATCATTCTAATATGCTGATTTGCTGCTCAAGAAACATTTCTGATTATTATAAATCTTGAAAACAATTGTGCTGCTTATTTTATTTTATTTTTTGAAATTGTGATACATTTAAATACATTTATTTCAATGTAACGGTGTAGTATTTAATGTAATTTTGTAATCAACTTTGTAATCAATTTATTTCACCCTTATTGAATTTCTTTAAAATGAAAAATAAATAAATAAATCTTACTGACCCTAAACTTTAGTGTACTTTTGAGACAGTGTGATGTTGTATATTTTAAATCTAGAATACCGTTCTTCTAGGCTTCTGTTGTACATGTATTTACTGTAAACATGTTTACTGAGGAATAAGTTATAACTGACAACATGCCACAGATGTGGTTCATGGAAATCAATTCAAAATAACCATGTTCCATTAATAATGGTCTGAAATATGCCTGAAATATCAGTGGTAACGTGACTGTTTTTATGACTCTTTCTAGGGCTAATTGTATGTTTATCTTTTTTCCCGAAAGCTGCCACATAAAATGCATATGAATGAGAAATCTTGATCTCACTTACGGTGGTTCGAGCGTTTGATGGCATGTCTGAACGCTGTAGATTGAGGTCCAGTGTGGATTTGCTGACGCCCGGCGCCTGGTTGTCTGTCCTCTGCTGTCCTGAAGAACTCACACGTGCATTGACCCGTTTAAGAATGTCGCTCAAAGTGCTGAAAGTCTTGCTCCGTGACAGTTCTGGCGGCTTCTGTGAGAGAAAACAACACACGTATATATATATACATACATATGTCTATATATATATATACACCAAAGAATTAAATAATGACTTTTATAATAGTAGTTTTTAATATTTTACACAAAGTTAACATTTAGTGTTAGACTGTGATGTCTGCTCTGCATTATACATACTTACATACATATACAAAATAATATAATATTTAGTCAAATTCTGCTGCTTATCACTACCATTTAATGTCATTTTTAGATGTTGTTTCTAATTTTATTGGTGGTGTTTAAAATATTAATTGTTGTTTAAAATTGTCATGAATAATTACTTGGATGAATAATGACTTTTATGATAATTTAATATATTTTTACATTTTGGTTACGTAAAGCTAACATAGTATTAGACAGTAATGTCTGCAGTGCATTTTTTTTGTGGCAATATACAAAATAATATCACAAAATATTTATATAATATTTAGCTGTTTATCTCTACACAGTGAGGTCAGTTATATAAATTATGGTTGTTTCTAGTTTATTGGTAATTTAATGCAAATTTTTCTGTTCAAATGCTGCTTAAAGTTGCAATTATTTAATTGAGAATTTTTTCTGTGTGTGTGCATATATATATATATATATATAAACTTTTAAAAAGTTTGAGGTCTGTAACATTTTATTAAATGTATTTGAAACATCAGTAGGTTGAATTATGAATGTGCCAAAATGTAAACACTTATAAACAATATTTTTTGGTAACTCTAGTGCAATCATTTTAACACATGTGCTTAGCACATGAACTGAGGCTTTATTGCTTTAGTATCAATTGAATTCATCGAAATAGAATTTATTTAGATTCAATTGCATAATAATATCATAACATATTATTTAATTGACATGCATATATAGGCAATTTTATGAGAGCTCAGAATGTGGTTGATGCAATCAAATTTTAGAGCTGAACGTTTGTTGTATGTTAATGTATAGCAGCATATACCTTAAAATGAGCTTGTGTGGTTCCTTCAGGGTTCATTGTATCTCCTAAAGCTCTGTCCCTCCTCTGGTAAGGCTCTCGTCTCGCAGCGGGTCCCAGCTCTTCCTCTGATGTCATGTCCATTCGGTGGGCGCGAGATGTGTACAGCGGAAACCTCTCCTCGCTTTCAGCATTCAGTAGAGGATACTGGATTCTGTCAGGAATCTGCAGAGGAGGCCTTTGGATGAAAGAGATTAGCACAACTTTTGTTAACATCTATCCAAATATTTGCCGACCTGTTGGTCTTTCACTCCACTGGTCTTTCTGAATGTCTGTTTTGGAGCGGTTGTAATATTTACCTGTTCACCACCTCATTGCAGTGCATTTCTCCTGGAGAGTAATGTCGCCTAGAACAGAAAAAGACCAAGTATGTTAAGCTCAAACAAGTCTAACAATGCATCTGTACATCAGATTATATGAAAAGCCTTTTGAGAAATACTGACCTTGGTCTTTGATATTCCGGATGCCTTAGATCTGACAGAAACATTGAACTAAACCTGAAACGTGAAGAGATAAGACTGAGTAAAAAAAAAGTTGGTAAAGAAAATGCCTTTGGAGCGAATATTTGACCTAATTCTGAAATACAACAGGAAGCAGCTTCAGGATTGTGGTCTTTGACGTTATCACAATTTTATATTTACATTTTTTGTTACACAAAGCTAATATATAGTTACCAGTTATTTTTAGTTGTTTAGTTGTAGTTGTTGTTTTCTCATATTTTTGTGAGCACTCTTCCTTTAAGTCAGTGGTTCCCAACCCTGGTCCTGGAGGCACCCCAACACTGCACGTTTTGCATGTCTCCTTAATCAAACACACCTGATTCAGGTCATCAGCACATTAGTAGAGACTTCAAGACCTGACATTGGTGTGTCAGAGAAAGGAGACATGCAAAATGTGCAGTGTTGGGGTGCCTCCAGGACCAGTGTTGGGAACCACTGCTTTAAGTAATCGTGAGACCGTCACCAGAGTTGCCAAGTCCGCGTATTATACGCGACTTTGGGCTTCTTTTTTTGTAAAGTTGCGTGAAAAAATCCCGGTCATGGGTTGCGGTATTTTGGGCTTATTTTTAAAAAGATGGTTACTTGTTAGGAAAACCTGACAAGCAACTTCGTTTCTTTTCATTTATGTTCACTGTATTCCAAAGGGGGGAAGTCGTGGCCTAATGGTTAGAGTCGGACTCGTAACCCAAAGGTTGCAGGTTCGAGTCTCGTACCGGCAGGGATTGTAGGTGGGGGGAGTGAATGTACAGCGCTCTCTTCCACCTTCAATACCACGACTGAGGTGCCCTTGAGCAAGGCACCGAACCCCCAACTGCTCCCCGGGCGCCGCAGCATAAATGGCTGCCCACTGCTCCGGGTGTGTGTTCACGGTGTGTGTGTGTGTTCACTGCTGTGTGTGTGCGCACTTTGGATGGGTTAAATGCAGAGCACTAATTCTGAGTATGGGTCACCATACTTGGCCACATGTCACGTCACAATGCATTGATTGACACTCTGTCTGCTCACAGTTAATAGCCAATCAGTGTAAAAATATAAGTGCTGTAGCGTAATTTGTCAAATATTCCACCATTTGTAAAATCCGCACGTGCCTTCTTTTTGAATGTGATTTTTCTTCAATGAGGGATTGAAGAAAAATCATGTTCAAAAGGAAGGC